GCACCCATAATTCCTGTGGAAATGACAGCGTTCTCTCGAAAGCATTGAATTTGGCAGCAGCGAGAATATCTAAGCCACTAATCTGATTTTTTAACGCCTGGACGAGCGGCAGGTATCATTAATCCGATTTTCAGGGATTGTAGCCGTTCAGATCCCTCAAAATGTCATCCAATGCTTCGCCTTGGTGCTATCAATGGAGTCAATGACAGCTAACGCACTAATGTGCTATATATGAAGCCCTAACCTCATAGCGCTGGAGCAACACGGATTCCGTCAACAACGGTCATGTGCTGCCAACCTAACCATTGTGCGTGGCAGTTGGATCGAAACAGCCGATAGTATGACTGGCACTGATGTCATTTATTTCGTATTTTCTAAAGTCTTCGACCGATTGGATTATCGAATCATTCTCCATAAGCTGCAAACTTACGGAATCGTGAACTCGGTTCTTGGATGGATCGGAACCATTCTTCTTCAAAGGCGCCTTCAGGTTCATGTACGGGGCTCTTTTTCTGATCTTGTTGATTTGGATTGTGGTGTTCCACATTGGTCAGTGCTGTGTCCGCGGGCATTTTTGGTCTTCGTCAACGACCTTTTGGATGTCATCGAGTCGAATTTCCTGCTGTTTGCCGATGTCGTCAAGATATGGCGGGCACTTGTAATCAGGAAGTTCACGATCCGCTGCCACAAGACTTAGAGCGTGCTTTTGAATTATCAGGCGCAAATCTACTTCCGTTCAACTCGGGCAAGTTTAAAACTGTACATCTACGCCACAAACCTATGATCGCATATAAGCTTGGAGACCACCTCACAGGAGCTTAACGTTGGGGTGGTGATACAAGACGACCTCGGCTGTTCGGAGCAGTTCTTGAAAGCTACCACAACCGCGAACCAACATGTTGGTCTCTTACGCAGAGTGTTCGGGTGGTTCGACCCCTCCGCCATCCTTTAAATTCCCATTGCATATGTGAGACCTTATTTAGGGTACGCGATTTAGGCCTGGCAACCCTGGTAAAAATGCGACCGCGCTGCACTGGTGACCCCACAGCGAAGAGCAACCAAAAATGTGAAGGGATTGTTCCACCTACAATACTATCTGCAACCAAAACCCTGTGGGGTGTTAAGCGGAAGTTATCGCGGTTTACTGGAGGACCTCATTCTGGCCTACCAGATCTTGAAAATCCTGCCACACTTGCCGTCGCCTGAAAATTAGCCATAACAGAAATGAGGGGTCACCAGTCGAAAATTTGCACCCACTACAGTCGTTTGAAATGCCGCCGGAATTATTTTTATCTTCGAATTCTTCAATCGTGGACCGCTCTTCTGATCTTCGTCATTTCTGCGCCCATGTTAGCCATGTTTAAAAACGACTCGCCGATGCATTACGTCATCTGCATTACTTGTTTCCATTTCTGTTCATTGACTGAGGACAAAACGTCGATAAACACTGTTCACCAAGCCTCATAAAACTGGCGAAAACGGACATACTTGTGTGTTACAGTGGATAGTTGGTAAGTCCACAGATGCGCGTTTCAATTTAGTGTAATTTCCTTTTTGAACTTACGTAATTCACACAAACCATCCCATTGGACCTGTCAAACTTTGTTTTTTTTCCGTATTATACCATTGTTCCATTTAAACAGCAAATATGCGGGAGCGGACAGGATCTCGCCTGAAGTATTGCAACACAGCGGACTCGCGCTGGTAAATATACCACCCCACTTGGTGCGCGTGTGGATTGAAGAGGAGGTGCCGACCGAGCTGATGGATGCTGTTGTGCTGCCACTGTACAAGGGCAGATGGAGCAAGCAATGTGCCACGAATTATCGTGATATTAACTTGCTGTGCTGTGATCGCCCGAGTGCATCTCAACTGCCTGGTTTCTCAGGTCGTTGAACCGCATGTGATGAATGAGCGACGCAGATTGCGCAGCACTATAGATATAATGTTCGCGGCTCATCACTTGTAGGAGAAATAAAGAGTGTGGCACTGTTTGTAGACTTCACCAAGGCATTTGACGCGGTGAACCGCAGTGCGCAGTGGCTGGTGTTCTGAAAGTTTGGTTGTCCGAGTAAGATTGTAAGTGTAATTAACTGTCTGCACGGTGGTATGCGGGCGAGGGTGCAGCTTTGTGAACTAACCGTACTTGATGTTGTCTCTAGTGTGAACCAAGGCTTAGTCCCTGTCCTGTTTAATATTTATCTTCATGCAGTGATATGCTTTTGATGCTGCTCGTGAGTACATTGTCCGCGTGGAGCACCGTATTGATGGTGGGTTGCTGAACATTGTCGTTTCGGTGCGAGAACCCTAGTGTATGAGACAGCCATCTGTATGTTGTCGTTTGCTGATGACTGCGCTGTGTGCACATAGCGCGAATGAGTTGCAGCGGATAACGACGGTTTCCGCTTCGACAGCGGCCACATTTGGGCTCACTATCAAGACAACTAAAGCTGTGTCTTCTTCATCCTTCACATGGAATGAAGTCCATGGGCCTTGCGCCTACCCCAAACGCAGATTCATAACATCGTTTTGGAAACCACCTGATTTTGCTGCCTGTGGGATGTACTCCATATGACGAACGATGCGCATTCGTGTTTCTGAGGCGGCTGTTACTATTGTGAAAGCTGGAGAATCGGGTGTTGGTCTTCAGCTTACCATTGACACGAAGCTGATGGTATGCAAATCACCGGTTCTGTCCATTCTTTTATCCGGCAGCGAAACCTGGACGCTTTATCATAAGGATATCCGGTACTTGAAGTTCTTCTAAAAACAGCGTCTACGTCGAGTTCTGCGCATCGGCTTAGTGACAAAGTTGCTGACACGGAGGTGCTCCACCGCAGTGGTATCTATGCAGTGGACTACACACTTCTGCTGCGGCAAATGAGGTTGCTCGGGCATATTCGCCGCATGGATTCGATCAGGATAACGAAACAGTTGCTTCATATTTAACATTTAGCAGGGAAGCGGAACTTGGGAAAACCAAAGTTACGTGGCCAAGATAAGATCTAGGTGGCTGTATCACGGACTAGTATCGATTTTAGGTGTTGGGGGGGGGCGATGGCAGTGGATCGGCGCCGCTGACGAAAGCATATCAAGAGAGCGGTTGCCCAGGTGCCTGAGAAATCACTGTTGCATGCGGAAAATAAACGCCGTGTACGGAAGCGACAGACGCCAGTGCAGTCTATCCTACCGACATCGAGCGCATGGGAATGTAGCATATACGGTCGCGAGTGCCTGAGCCAAGCCGGCTTAATAAGCCACCTGCGTGTCTACGCGTGCCCATCAGTGAACAGACGACAAATCGGTTGAATCAGTAATCATCTTCAGCGTGGCGCTTAGTAAGTACGCTGCTTCCGATCTGATTTACCACTCCGGACCAGTAATACGGCCGATGTGGCTTGTGTGCTGCACCATCCCTGCAATTGGTCTGTGCGTGTTCCTTCGTGTTTGCTTTCTTGTATTTCATGTATTAGTTGCTGATTGATTTCTCCGGTACGGCTTCACTTTATGTGAATGTCGACAAGGTGCCTACCTGTCTGACACCCTCCACTTCGATCACTGGCTTCAGACGACAGTTGGTCGTTGCTTTGGAAGACGGGATGTCCGATCTTCGTGACCTGTCTAGGCTCGAATATTGGTTCCATCCATTGTCGAGGGGACTTCGGCATCGCCACTGCCTTGTGTATATCTGGTGCGCATGATTCCTGTTGCTGTGCGTGTTGATCGAGTGTGAACCGGCTCCGTTGATGAAACCCAGCTCTCCTTCAAATACCTGCCGGTCTTACTCCTTCGGGTATACACTGGATATGGGTGTGTAGACAGAACTGTGGGTGTTGCAGCTCAAGCCACCCATGTATGCGCCGGCTTTCTGCGGTTGTTCCCACAGGCAAATCCGGACACGGATGCTGTCTGTCCTCGGCAAGTGCATATCTCGACAAATCTATCAATGTATCACAGAGCGAGATTGATAGCTGTGTCCTTGCTACTTGCTTTGGTTGCCACTTGTAAATAAAAATCCCGGACGTCATCGCATTGCGACTGTCGGTGAACACAGATTGACGACTTTTCTGGATCTCACTGTGTGTGTGTGTGTGTGTGTGTGTGTGTGTGTGTGTGTGTGTGTGTGTGTGTGTGTGTGTGAAGAAGGGAGCATTGCCACGGAGCGAAAAGGGACATTTAATAAAGTTACCTCAAAATTGGTACGTACTCAACTGCATTACGGTGTCACAGTAATGTTAATGCAAGCAAATTGCCAAGTTAAAATGTGACTCTTAGGAAATCCATGACGACCAAACAGTGAGGTGGCAAAGAGCAAAACAATGTTGATCGATAGGTCGGGTTTTGCTTATTGTAATCTCAAATGGGTACTTCGGATTTGGCTGCATCATTGGCTAGCTACTCTGATGCCTGTGGCGCAGTTTCGAAGTAGCGTCGCTGTTACATCTTTTTACATTACTTCTTGTCCATCCATCTGGCGATTTTATTGCCTTTCAAACCCTCTTAATTATCGTATCGTTATCATTTTTATAACAGTTTAGTTGATGGTGTTTACCGGGAGACCTTGATCCGGTGTACTTCGGTTCACGGATCATAGTTGAGGAAATTGCTTCAGATAGCATTGAGCGTCCCGTATGCATGGGCTTACAACATTCATCGGGGCTCTTATTCACTCTTGGGATTCTGTCAGGCGCTGTTTCGGACACCAAAGCTGCTTGCCACACATGACAATAGAGTGCATGCTTCAGGTATCAATTCACTGCTCGGACGCTTTCCGCTTTTGCGTATAGCCATTTCATTCTCTGTTATTGATTTTCCTTATTTTCCTCGCACGGATTGTTGCCATAGTGTTCACTGTATCTAACTTCTCAATTCACATTTGATCAACTGAAACTTGCGGATTTCTCATGCATAATCTGTTTTTGTTACCTTTTGTGTGCGAAATTAGATGCCTAATCCCGTTTGTTTACTAAACGACGTTTACCGTTTTGTTCTCCCTCTAGCAATTTATTCAATTCTGCTGGCCATACGCACCCCGATCCACTATCTCACAGGCAATCGCGCGGGTTCCTCAGCTCATTTCGGACTGCCATCACCTATCGTCGACCGTGATAGTTCAACTTTGCCTCCCGAGAAAGATGCGGAAATGCGCTCTCGTATCAAGTGGAGCCTTGAGGACATTTTCAAATCCGCTACTGGTCATCAGTTCATCGCAAACATTTCCCAATTGATAACTGTTCACATACGAAATGCCACTGACTCCTCCTCCTCCATCCCCACGAGCGATATGCTTTTCTACAGAGCCTACTTGGTCTCTGTTGGACATGTGTCCGTGAACGCGCCTCAAAATCTAATACAGAATCGCTTACACGAAGGATATCTTCATGACGTTGGTAGCGTCGATCCAGACATAAGTCGAGTTGACTTAGTCGAGGCTGCAGTTGGTGAGTTTCGTTTCTGCTTAATCCTCTTGTACGTAGCTGTGTACATTTTCTCTCACTATGAGGGGTTTTACTCATCCACGTATCCTCCGTCCACCTTACTCATCTGCTCTTTCGCTTCTTTACCCTGAACGAGCTTTTTATTCAATTTTAAAAGCTGTTCTCCACTGATCTTATTCTGAAGCAGGACTTTTTATCAACTTTTCTATTTTATGCTGTTCTACTAACCAACACTTCTAGCGTTTATCTCTCATCTCATCGTTGCCGAATAATGTGTTAATCAGCTTGCCGCGTGCGTTCTCGGGAGTCTCCGTCATGTTTTATTTTTTAGATTACTCCGATTATTTACCTACGCATGTCTATTTTAATTGGGTATTCCCCGTTTTTATCTGAACTAGCTTCGTCTAATTTGTCAATGAGTTAGGCTCAAAAATACGCCTCTCTAATAATCGTAATAGCATTACACATAAAATGCTTGCCGGTCCCATTAGTCTATCGTCATTGCTCCACCATGTTGAACTTTTTGGTTACACGCTACTTCTACATTTCGCCTACGCACATCATCGCGAAAATACCACAAGCTGAATCGATCATCACCTCGTTTCCGGAATAACAACGGTGCTCCAATGCGCTGCTTTCCTTACCCATCTACCTCTAGTCAACCTCGAGTTGGTTAGAGCTCTTTCCTTTCTTCCAAAATCCAACACGCAACACACACGCTGATTACCTAAACATTTATTGACGTCACCCACTTTTTACGTGGTCAGTAGCTTTCTTCTTTGTACGCTTGGTTGGAGATCAGTGGTATAACTTATGATCACTCCTCTGACCCATTTTGCCCTAACGAATTCTTTGGTTCCACTGTTCTTGTCTCTTAATCAACGTCTGACTGTGGTCACAAATTGCGGACGACATAGTTTTATCTTCGCATGTTGTGCTCATCAGATCTTTTTGTCACTTTTGTTTTCCGCAGATCCTTCCTCTGTCACTTTTTCGAATGATTTGGATGCCTCATCTGATTTGGATACCCAACCAGCTGAGGTATGTCAACTTTGCCATTTTTCTCTACTCTTGAGAGGTTCGGCGATGTGATAATTCGTTTCCAAATTTCGTCTACCGATATTCGCTAAAGATGCGTTGACAACTATAACCTCCTTCGTCTTGTTTAGTTTCGATTAGTTTTAACCACCCACATTTCTGACACTTGGTATCTACCAACTTGTTACTCCGCAGAAGCAACGCAACGTTTGGCTAACAGACATTATCAAGTAGCCTACTTCGATCAGTCATTAAAGGCGGGTCACTTCTGAGCGCATCAGACTCCCGCCATACGGTCACCTTCTGACACCACGGGTACACGACCATTGTCTACGAACATAAGTGCACCACCCATCGACCAGTTCTTTCCTTGTGTTTTCGTCACTACCCGATCTCCAGGGTCCAACCGGAGCGTAGTTTGTGCTGACTCCTGCTTTTGACATATGCTGCAAATTATGTCACCTTGTTATCACAGCATGACTCTTCCATTCTCTGTATGAACCAGTTCTTGGTCTATTTGAAGCATATTTGCCACAAGATGAACGATTTTCATGTGCAATTTCACCGCACAATTGTATACCACCTATGTTTTTTAACAATCCCTTCTGGACCGGCCCATGATGTGGACCAGCGGTTTGCGTTGCTGATTTACGGTTGCCGTCAGTTTCCAAATGTCACACCAAACCGCTCAATAATTGGACTTCGTGCCAATTTGTATTTGACATTCTCTCATAGGAAATTTAATAGAAATATACAGATTCCTTTGCCAAACTTTGAGCTATAAGTGACAACAGTGGGGCCACATGTTCGTCTCCTTTGTTCTAAAGCGCAAATTCTGTGGATTGTTTTCGACCGCGGATGTATATAATGGCTAACTACTGCTTTGCAGCTCCTGGCCAGTAAGGCGCGAACCTGCCGACTCTCACATACCATCGTGACCGTAACCGCATAATTTGCTGCGCCCGAAAATCAACAACAGTTCTGGATTGCGTGTGATCTGCACTGAGTATATTTTCACTGCTCTTTACATTTAACCTCGCAAGCCGAGCCTTCTCGCTGCATCATCACTCGGACCATAAAATCATAACTAGTCCCCCTCTAGCACATGCCCTGTATGTGTAGGCAACCGAACTGCGCGATTGGCCCACAAATGTCTATTACTGGGGTTCCTCGATAGCGACACGCATCCTCTTCAACAGCGCGGTGGATTCAAGCTATTTCATGCGAACTTTTGGCTGTGTTCTACGGTACAAACAATGGGTAGTGTTAATCTACGATATGAGCCGTACGACGAGCGGTGGAACGATAACAGTAACGAGTGTTTCGGTGCTCTGGTACTCTCTCACCTAACGCAATACACCGCTTTTCATTCCGATTCCACGGAAGCCATTCAACCGGGACTACGCATATGTGATATGTGGTTGGCGGCATTCAGTTCTGGATTTGCCTGTCGCTGCAGCTTCCATAGAGACAGCCGCAGGTGTCCTACGTTCGACCCTACTGTACGGTTGTGAAACCTGGCCGCTTAGAGCAGCGGACCTGAAGAGGCTAGTTACGTTCGACCACCGGTGCCTTCGCAATTTAGCTCACATTTGGTGGGAATACCGCGTGAGCAACGAGCGTGTTCGACGCCTTGTTTATGACACAGGAAAAGCAAATGAACCGCTCAGCACCGTTATTTCACGCATCAGGCTCCGATGGCTCGGCCACGTGTTACGCATGCCAGCCCACCGACTTCCGCGACGTGTGTTGTTTGCGCGCCGGGGGTGTGGATGGAAGAAGAGGAGGGGTGGCCAAGCGATGACTTGGTCCAGAGGAATGAAGACCCTCACTTCGGAGCTGGCCTCGGTTGGAGCGTCTCGGCTCCCTGGTTGGGGTCCGAAAGACGATGAACACGTTTGGTTGGACACACTTGCTGATATGGCAAGGAGCCGACCTCAGTGGCGTTCGTGCTGTGAGTTTCTTTGTCCCACCCCATCCCTCTTAGCCTCCCCCTCCAACCACGATCTCATTATTTAGCCTTATATAATTTTGCATAATAATTTTTTTTTGGGTGCACAGCTGCCGGCTGGTAGCTTACCGGAACGATGCCCATCCGTTACCGGTAGCTCAGCCAGCTTGCACCAGTTGCTTTTTTCTCTCCTTTTTTCTATGTATTGCGGCACAGTAGCTGAGGTGTTTCCCACCTCTAGCTAACGTGTATGATGATGATGATGACCCACATTTCCATCCATTCACCTCATATTCAGTGTAAACCCTAGCGAATAAGACTTAAGGGCATGCGGATGGGCACCACCTTTCAACAACGGATCCGGCCCACACTCCTTCAACCTACACAGAAGCAGCACTCACGTCCATCATCTAAGTGGGGAGTCATGCGCAACAAACGTACACATGGCGGATGCTGGGTGTTAATCCGCTCCACACTGGATATAACCACTCTTTGGGCCTAGAACAGATGGAACCACAGTCACGAAGACCCTGCACCCCGTCTCCCTAAGCAACGACCAACTGTCTGCTAGCGGCAGTAATCGTGGTGGCGGGTTTCAACAGGTATGCGCCGTCCAAAGATTCACAACAAGAATCGCGAAACGTGGTATCTCATCTGAGAAGAGACGTCAAAAATGCGACACCATAAACTCACAGACACATATACCGACCAATTGCAGTGACGGTGCAGCGCACGTGCTACATCTGCCTCACTATTAGTCTGAGTTGGTAAATCAATAATAAACTGCATACTTACGATGCTCTGATAATTTCCTATTTAACTTACTAGTCTCCACTTTGATATTGGCTTCGCATGCCCGCTGATGAATCGCCAGACCGGCTCGGCTGAGTCACACATAACCAAATGTGCCACGGCGCTAGTTGCTTAACGTCAGTAGGTTTGGCTCCATTGGCACCTGTTATCTCCGTAGTTTATACTTTCTGACGCGCCTGGACAAAGGTATTCTTGATATCGTCACGACATTGACTGGGATCCACTACCATTGCTACCCAACACCTAAGATCAACATTAGATCACGACGAAGTCACCTGGAGTGTATACTGATAGTGCTGCTTCAGTTTGCCGGTACTTTGCTCATCCGTACTAAGTCAACCTGTGGTAATGTGCCCATACAGTAAATGCTTCGGTTGCTTTGTCACATTCATATGTTGGACATACCTTAGCCACGTCAGTTGTTACAGCAGCACCATGCAATTCATTCAGTACATGTCGCCCCAGCGGAGCATTTTCATGCCATGCCTGTCATCGACGGATACGCAAGATCCGACGCAGGTATTCCTGATGAAGTCTGTCCAGATCTCGTCCATGTCTCTCTGCCGTAGTGCGTAACCGACAACACCCTCAGGTTGGTTCCAACGGTGGGCGTACCGCGTGAGCAATGCGCCTGTTCGGCGTTTGGTCGGATACACTAGCCGACATGGCAAAGAGTTGATTTCAGTACCGTTGGTGTTATGAGTTTCTTTGTCCTTCTCCATCCCGCTTATCTTCCTCCTCCATCCACGACCTCTCTTGACGCATAATATGTTACTAAGTAGTGTGTTACTTTTGCATTCTATAATATTCAGTATCTTGCTTTCTTCTTATGTCTTATCTCTGTATTGCGGCACAATAGTTGAAGTATGTTCCTCACCCTCCGCTAATGTGTAATGATTATGATCAAGTTGGTTCCAAAAGTCAACTGATTATTCCTCCGCACCCAGCGTTCGAGGTTGCCGCAATCCACTCGCACTTTCGGTACACGTAGGCGCAGTTCGATTTTCATCTCCGAGTTTGTTGACATCGTACTCCTGAGGTAGGAAAATTTTGGTGAGTTCTCCAAAATCTCGCCAGTAATTCTGATTTGCAGGCAGCCCACGGGTCCCACTCCTTGTAACGATTACAAAAGTCGCATTATTGATTGTGAATTCAAACTTTTCCACCATCGAAGCGTGAGGTCTCGTCATACAATGCATTTCATCCTCGTTGTGTGCAAACACTGCTCAGTCGTCGGCAAACAACAGCATCCGGGTGGTTGTATCACACGCACTCAGATCCGCTCGCTCCGAAACGTTGGATCATCAGCCTAACATCGATGCGATGCTCTGGACAGTCGCCGTAATCGCAGGCGATCACAATAGTAACCTGGATGACAGATGTATATCAAAAACCCTCATCCTGAGGCTGATTCGTGATGCTTCCCCACCGTAGCTAGGCTGAACCAGCTCACACTTAAACTGCTGGATAAATTTCATTCCACCTTATTTGGTTTGTTCTGCCTACTTGAATACTCTTCAGTTAACTTGCACACGTTGCTTACCCTAATTGTGGTTATCTTCGTTAACTTTATCGCCTTTGTAGCATCCTTTGAATAACCTGTGGACATATTTTACTTATCGCGGATTCGTTGCCAACCAACTTACTTCATATGCTAATTTAGCGAGGAGTTATGTCGGCATAGCCGTATGCTGTAATAGATATATTTTATTTGATAATGTTATTTTAAGTGATTGGCTGTTGTTTGACATCCCCAGTGTGGCTGCCCTTGATGTGCATGTTGACAAGGTGCCTACCTGTCTATTACCCACTACCTCGTCCATCTGGCTCCAGGAGACAGTTGGTCGTTGCCGGGGGGGGACGGGGTGCACAACCCTTGTGACCGTGCTAAGCTCGAAGAGTGGTTCTATGCAGTCAGTGTGGAGTGGACTACGGTCCAGCCACCGCCTTGTGTGTGCTTGACTCCCCAAATACAGCGTGCATGTGTTTGTCTGTGAAAGAGTGTGGGCCGGCTCCGTTGATGAAACCTGGCTCCCATCCACATGCCTCCCGGTCTTATTCCTTCAGGTTTACACTGGATATGGGGTGTATGATTGGAGCTGTGGTAGGTGCAACGCAAGCCACCCATGGTCCCTCTGTAGGCGCTGGCGTCCTGTGGCTGGCCACAGCGGCAGGCAAATCCGGAACCGGATGCCGCCAACCATGTAATCTCAACAGTCTAGACATAGAGTCAACAAAA